GCCCAGCATGTAACAGAATTTTTAGGCGCTCCAAGGTTAAGTAATAGTTCAGCCAGTGACCTCAGCATTTCTTACATTGCTGATCCTTACAGAAATGAGAAGCTCTAACATTTTTGTTTCAGGATACTTTAGAGTGTACTGAAAAGGTATGGACGGGGTACATTTCCCAGTGGAAGAGCCACGCAGCCCACTGTTACCAACATCAGTACAAAATCTTTTTACTGAGGTTAGCTACAGTATAACTAACTAATGCTTTATTTTTATTAGGTTCAAGTGATCAGTCATACTAGAATTACAGAAAAATCAAAATTTACTTGAGCAGGAATCAAATGTCAGAGTTAACATTCTTTATTAAAACTAAAGAATTAAATCTTACAAAAAACATTACTAGCAATTATCTATTTTTTTACTCTATTGGTTTAGCAGAGTAAGATGACTGGTACATTGTAGAAGTGTTATCTTAAGGAAGAAAACCAAGGCTTTTAAGTAGAGCTTTACGAGCCAAACATAATGTACATACTCATATATATTTCACATCATTTATTTAGGCTCCGTCTTGGTAATAGTTCATTTACATCACAGGTATTTGTAACATCATTAGGAATGCAGCGTTTTCAAATATCTTATGAGTCAGTGTCAAAACAGTCTGCTGTTGCATATCGTATTAGAGCATAAATCTCTCAATATAGTTCAAGGTGCTGATGCATTTTTATAATATTGAAAAGGTACATATGAATTCTTTCTATCAAAAGCAAATTAGTAAACCATACCAAAACAGAGGAAATCACTTCTGTGTAAAGAGGCGAGTGCCTGGCAGTCAGTACGCTCACAAACTTGACAGCACTGAATGCGACCTCCTGGGCTCAGGTGATGTGGCTTCGGGGGCATTTTTTGAATGTCACATGCTGCACCAGAAATCCCAGTAGATCTGCGTACATCTCTAGACATAGACCTACAGATAAGACTCTAGAATTGCCGAACTGAAAGAATTTTAAGAGTTGTAACTCTTAGATTTCTTTTTTCAAAAGAGGAATGCAAATTATAGTGAAAACACTGCATCTCACAGAGAGCTCCTGTCTAGTTACAGAATTTATACAGTAATCAAACTACAGTAACACCATTATGGTTTTGGCTTTTTAATTCCTCAAGATCTCTAGAACGCAGTTGCTGAGACTTTTTCACAATAATGGGTACAAAACTAAATGCCCAGTGTACTAGGACAGCACATGCCATTTAATTACTTGTGGCTTTTGCATGCAGGGTCGGCACATGGTACGAGATGACTGGACAGTCTGCCCACACTGTGACTTTCCCGCCCTCTATTCAGAATTCAAGAAGTAAGTTGGTATTTTTTTTCTGTTGCAGGATTCCAGTATTGTTTGTATTTTAGCAAACCGTTTCATGTGGTACTAAAAAACATGTAACAGCTGCAGGGGGAGGGTGGAAGAGGAATCCCCCTTACTTGGTAGTTTCATCTAACATACTCACAGAACATCGCTTCAAAGTCGACCAAAAACTACGATAAAGAAAGAACTCGGCCAGAGATGCAGGGCTCCAACAATAGGAGCAATGAAGATGGATGGGGGGGCTTGTGTAAGTTCTCAGCTCTTTCCAGGAAGATGACCTGATATGGGGGCGGGGGGGGGGGGGGGGAGCACACGATTTCATTCACCAAAACAAAACACCCGCATTAGCGGGTACTGACTAAGGCGGCAATCATCTCTTGTCCCCCAGTAATTGTCTGTGCGAGAATGGGACTGGATAGCTCTGTTCAGATGTCAGGAACTGTGAAGCAGTAGAAGCTTTGTGTTATAGCCCAAGCTCCTTTGTCTATGTTTTAATTGCCAAATTTTCCTCACATCCGTACAAACAGCAGCAGAGTTCCTGTTGTGATGTTAGTTCTCAAATGGCAAAACCAAACCAACCAACCTTTGCTCCGCCCAGACAGAAGCAGCCATTGCTCTGACCCGTATTTGTTACACAGCATAGGTCAGAACTTCGCTCTATGCTTTCTGCCTCAGGCCCAGCTGTTCCTTTGAAAATGTTAGAATTATCATTTGACCAGTCACCCTTCTTTTAAAACAGCATGTTACAGACTGAAAACACATGTCCAATGTGTTCTGAAAGGATTAACATTGTTCATCTTAAGAAAATAAACGATTGCACACAGTACCTCAAACCAGAAGATGAGGACCAATAAATTCAGGTATGTGCTAGAGCCTGGGTTTTTGGGTTTTTTTTTTTTTTTTTTACTTAACAGGGCTCATTCTCGAGGACATGGGGAGTTTTTCCCAGCAAGGGAAATAGTGTTCAAGAATCTAACTTACAGGCTGGGTGTATGCCTCAGATAACTGAGGCTCAGCTGTGTCACCCATCTGCCCTCAGGCATGCAAACACCAGTAGGTTTTGCTACTGCAAGTAACATGGTGGTTAAATCATTCCAGTTGTGAGGCTTTAAACCAGTTTTTCCTCTATGATCACATTATCCTCTGCAACGTGTTCTGGTTTGGAATATGTTCCTGAACACCAGTTATGCTTTAGTAGCACAGAGAACAGCTTGAAGATCTTGGCATCATCAAATCCTCCTACAGATCTACCAACAGCTATTTAAGTGTAGGAAGAGAGAGAGATGCTGACTGGAAAGAGCAGATCTAAAATGCAGGTTACGTGATCTTAGCTTCTGTGTTTAACAGAATATATCACAGGATAACAGCAACATAGCATTGGCTCGAAATACTCATATTTCAAAGAGCGAGACCGCTGCTCTGTCTATACCACCCACTTAGATCAAGATTTCGGTTTTGTTAAAGGAATGGTAACTGAAAACGAGTTAACAAAGTTCCTCAGTAATTTTGACATTTGAAGGCAGATTTACTAGTGCAGATAAGTTATGTGAAAACTTTGACCTATAGGTCAAAGTAATGTACAAGTGATATTATAAAATTATATATACCACAATAACCTTATTTTTTTTTCGGTCTGAGAAAACATTGTAGTTTGCCATCACAGTCTTTATAGCTTGGGATATGACTAACTGCCTCTGCTTATTTTCAGAACTGCATGTGTTGTCTGGCAAGCAACAAGGAAAGCTCTATCACTACATTACCCATCTTTTCCCCACTAGGATTTAATAACAACCATGTCATTTCTATTTTGTGATAGCCTGTAAATACTTAGCTTTTGATAAATTTTGTACTTTGATTTATTATAGTAATAAAGCTGATTGATAATTATTCTTACCAAGCAAAGTTTGCATTTTATCTGCACCACAGACAAACCAAGGGCCATTCTGTGTTATGCAAGTGGCAAAAAAACCCCAAAAAAACAAAAAAACGAACCACAAACCAACCCTAGCGTTCTCTTTTCACCATCAGTTCTGAACTTTTATGACTATTTTCTATTACCCATTTCTTACTCTTTAAGTATTCTCCTTTCTGGTTTTCATTAAAGATACAACTCATAAGCACATGCTCCTCAAGTTTTGGAACTAAATCCCTTACTGCTTTTCTGTGTCTTTAACTGAGCAAAAGGGAAGTTGTAGGAAAATAACCACCACATCCCATACACGCAGGAAAGCCAGAACCCTGGAAGAAAAGAGAGGGAGAAGGACAGAACACTCCATGAACTTAACCAAAATTTTAAAAGACTCCCGTGGAAGATTTTATTGTAATTTTATACACTGCTTAATTTCTATAATATACAAATATGCAATTTAGGGTTTTGGGGGGATGCGCATCATGTACTATTTACAAGAGTTCACCACATAGTATCAGGGGATTTATTAAAAAAAAAAAAAAAAGTAGAAGAGTGGAGTCCTAGGAAGACTTCGCATAAATGCCAGGTAACTAAGCATCATATGTTCATGCACCCCATTGTTTGTTGTACAAGGATATTTATAGCTTGTAACGTTGTAGCACGTTAAGAGTAAGTAGGGCACTGCATAGTGAGAGAGTACAGTAGCTACATCACCTCTATAAGAGGAGCGTTTTCAATGCACTGGTTCTACTTCCCCAGCTCCATCACTGGATCTGTTTCACGTTCCTGCCAGAAGTTACATAAGCAAAGCTGCATCCAGAGCAAGATTTTATTGTTTAATGTCTTGTTTTCTCTTTCCTTTTCCCCTCTTTTTTTGTTGTTTCTTCATTTTTCTCTCTTTTTGGCAGCTTGGAAGACTTCGCCTTTTTTTGCTACAAACAGAATATACAGACAGTTTAAAATCCAACTGCAACCTGACAGAAGCATAAGTCCAACCGCAATCAGTGTTAAAAGGAAATGCCATCTCTTCTCTTCCCCTCCCCTTTCATGCATTAAGTTTTTAAACGCTGTGGAGAGTAAGAATCTACCGCGTTCAGTCTTAAGGGCTGACCACAGTTCCCTGGTTTAGCGATACGTACAAAGGGTGTTACTGGAATTGCCATCTGTGAGAACCACAAGCAAAGGCCTGTGGCTGCTCCTTACCAATGGCACCGTCCCCACCAACACGTAAAATATTACTAAGGTTTGGAATTGGATGCAGTATTCATCAGTTTACAGTGATGTCTCACTTTGGTCCAACATTCAAGCACAGACAATGGATTTTTTTTTTTTAAATTCAGATGACGTTACAAGTCCCAGAAAGGTAACTTAAGAGGATAACAGTTTAGTGGGGTAGTTTAACACCGAGGAAACTAAGTCACCTTAATCATTGCATCACTTTCAACAGTATCTTGCTCATCCTCATCAGACTGGATCTCTTCCACATTCAAGTCTTCATTCAGGTCTAAGGTCACTGCGGATCCTGACTGCCTTTTAGATGTCTTGACAGAACTAAGTGAATATGGAGTCAGATGTGCCTCCTTGTTGTAGGCACGTGTAAAAGCTGCTTTGACCTGTTCAGTTGAAAGGAAACACTATAAGCATCAGCTTAGGAACTGTAGGTCGCTAGCTAACCAACTCTTGGCTAGAGATTCCACATCATCTTTCCTTTGGGAAGACGTGATGAAAGATTTCTAGAAGATGCTATCTCAAAAGGACACAGAAAGCATTTAAGAGCTGTGTGGTGAAGGCTCACTTTAAGCGAGTCCCCCATAACCCGCAGATAGAGCGTGCATCTTCAGATGCTCCTCACTTAAGCCTCCAGTGTTGTTCTGCTGCCAGCTAATCCGAGTCACTTACACCAAAGCCACCCTCAGTAGCACTGAGCCCCTGCCACACAGGAGCAGCCTATTCAGACTAGGAGTAAACACCCAGTAGTAGCATAGGTTTAGTTATCAGCAGAGAAGATTCTTCTTTTTCCCTGAACACTTGACCTGGGATGGGGGAGATCATGGTTCAGACCTCACACCTGCCTAGTTTGTAGCAGGGACTTGAGCTTAAGATCACCTTGTACCAGATGAGGGTCCCAACCACTGAAGTGGACTAGCTGGATACCGGAGGAGCACCACACAGAGTCCCCCCAGGTCAGGCAGTTCAGTCTAGCTGGACTGTGACACATGCAAGCTGCAAGCCAGCCTCTCAATTCAGTGCCCACACCGTAACAGATACAGTTGTGCTTCCCTCCTCCTCTGCACGGTGGTGAGAAAGCAGTGCTATGCACGAAGGTGATACAGCTTATAGCCAGGAGCTTGCTTGGAGAAAGGTACCGGCTTTCCCTGTCCCTTCTGCGTTCTGCTTCTGTGCCCCAGACAGAGCTGACTCCTGGACTGTGACACATGCAAGCTGCAAGCCAGCCTCTCAATTCAGTGCCCACACCGTAACAGATACAGTTGTGCTTCCCTCCTCCTCTGCACGGTGGTGAGAAAGGCAGTGCTATGCACGAAGGTGATGCAGCTTATAGCAAGGTACCGGCTTTCCCTGTCCCTTCTGTGTTCTGCTTCTGTGCCCCAGACACAGCTGACTCCCAGTGATCCTTTACACCAGGAACAACAGGTATAAGACTGCTGAATGAAGCACAGCCTGACCATCTTTTAGGACATACCCCTAAAACCTTCAGTAGTATGTTTGACAGCCGATTTGCAAAGACTACCGTTAATTAATTACAGTTAATAAAATTATTCATTTGCAGCTGCACGAACTTCAGCCTTCCAGCAGCACATCCATGCCACAGCTATTATTCTAGGATTTCTTTTTAAAGATATGGAAGAAAAAGAAAAAATTCACTTGTGAATTTTACCTTGGGATCCAGCTTTGAGAAAGGACTGGGTTTGCCTCCCCACGTGCTTATTTCCATTATATTTTCAGTATCTTCTTTCATCAAGCAGTAAGAGTCCATGAATGTTATAGCTTCTTGTACACCATCTGCTCCAAAGTCTTTCAAGGGCTGGACAAGCGCATCCCGCAAATACGACAAGTACTCCATGTTTACTGTCCTCTTGCATGCCTGGGTTCTTTGTCAAATGGAAAGCAGTAAGTAAATCTGTACAACCACCGCCACTCACTTCTAAACACAAGCAACCTGTAGGTAGGCCCTCAGCAAACGGATAATCAGCTGCCTTAAGAGTTAACTGCAAGTTGTACCGTGCCATTCCTTTTGCCATACCTGCATTAGGCATAACCGATGCAAGGTATTCAAACACCAAACAGTCCCTAACTGAGGAACAACAACTCGGGGGTGGGGGTGGGAAGTCACAGTACTGCTGACTATACTTAGTGCTTGCAGTCTGACTGTTGTCCAGATTAAGTGCTAAGAAAGCATCACCACCAACATATGAGGATATTCACAGAATATACACTTAAGTTTGAACCGAGGACAGCAAGGAATTAACAGTAGGTAGTGAACTACATGAGAACTAAATATCCATGTCAATATAAATCAGAAGAGGAATGTCAGTACTACCTGAGACTCATGTGCATTGCCAGTTCTTGAATGATACGATCATGTTTGCCTGTGGATGAAAATTTCCCCAGCCAGCTGGGAAAGACAGGAAACTGGGACATGTAACCTCGCATCAGCTCCCCCGGGAGAACACTTGCATAAATAGCCTGAAGAAGTAACACACATGCCAAACTCAAATCACAATGAATTAGTCTCACTGACACCATGACACACTACCCTACTTGTCCACATGAATGGAGGTAGTCAGTACAGTTCCACAGTGGAAACAGCTCGTTTTAAGAGAGCTCTTTCTTGGTTGCTTGTTTCTGTTCAACCCCTTTTAGGTTACAGCTTCATCTCTTGTACCACCCTATTTGTTACCATGGTTCTAAAATAGCTGTGAAATTATCTGGGTTTTAAAAGCCATTTAAAAAAAAAAAGTCTCTTTGTTTCTCATTTTAGAGTGCAGTCAGACAAACAGCTGACTTCCCACAAACAAGTGCTGTAGTCTCCAGCAGATGGACACGGTGAAGGAGACATTTCCAAAGAACACCACAAATCTACATGAACTCAGCGAGCTAAGGTTCCTAAGCAACTTATCTGGACCTGCGGTAAGCAGTGGGGTAGACTAGGTGACCTCCAGGGGTCCATTCCAACTTGATCTACGATACATTCTCTGATGCCAGTCATAATCCTTTAAGAACAAGTCTCGTCAATGTTTCAGTGACCATTAAAAAAAGTACAGTGACGAAGCTTCAGTCCTCTGTGCTTTGGGAGAAATACTGGCCTGGTAAGAGGCTGGGATAGGAAGCACATAAATAAAACAGTGTAGGCTTGTAACCTGCACGTCAGAAGCGATACGTGCCGTGTGCTCCTATACTTCATATAAAGAAGGTTCAAGCTTTTCAAAGTTTCAGAAGACTTCATTTCATGATACAGCGTGGGTTCAACAATACGAATACGGGAAACTGCCCTACTCACCAGCAGAACAGAATACTACATGAAGTATGAACTATACAGGTCAGAAAACTATACTGAAACATCAGGTTCGAGGGATCAGTCTTTTACACTGGACACCCAATAAAGCACATAAAAATGAGTGTTAAGTGCTAACCTGTGTCGGAAGAAGGTTCCAGTTTTGCTTGCTACGAATCTGTTTGTCCACTATATCACCATCACATATACTATCAGCAGCTCTACTCAAGAGCACCAAGTGCTTTTTCATATTTCCTCTGGAAAAAAATGAAGTTGATTGTATTACAAAGCAGAAATATCCAGATAGGTTTCAGTCTAGTTTTACTCCCTGACACAAAAGCCTCTGTCAATTTAGGGTATGGAATAACTCACCCAGCAGCAGCTGGTTTCACATGTACATAGTTCTCTTGGACAAAGAGAGGTGCTAGGGAATAATCATGGAAGAAAAGATCCGATTTGTCTATAAGAGACATACGAGAAGCCTCCTCTCCAGTAGCAAAAACCTTCCGGACAACATCAAAAGGGCCCTAAGTAAATGATATTTCAAGAAGTCAGCGGGTTGCAGGTCAACACAAACAGTAAGACACAGCACAGTATCAACAGTTACTTTAGTGATGGTACCCAACAATATCTGAACTCATCAGTACAAGTTCAATGTTCAGTATTTCCTTCCTAGTGCTTTACCAGTTTCAAGAATTTGAGTTTTACTTCTGATATTAAGAGAATTATCTCCTAAATAGAGGTCTCAGGATGAGAAGTATGAGCTTCATAATTGCATCTTACGTAAGACACCAATACATCAAGATATATACTCAGCCCCAGATTTACTGCCCTTCAACTACTTGTGGCAAGTTTGACAGCTCCCTGCATCTAGGCTATCAGTGCTTAGTTCAGAAGATACTTATTAAGTCCAGTGATTCTATCAGAATATAGAATCATAGAATCGTTTAGGTTGGAAAAGACCTTCAAGATCATCAAGTCCAACCGTTTACCTAGCACAGCCAAGTCCACCACTGAACCATGTCCCTAAGCACCACATCTACATGTCTTTTAAATACCTCCAGGGATGGTGACTCCACCATTTCCCTGGGCAGCCTCTTCCAACAGGCTTCACAACCCTTTCAGTGAAGGCATTTTTCCTCACATCCAATCTAAACCTCCCCTGGCGCAACTTGAGGCCATTTCCTCTCATCCTATCGCCTGTTGCTTGGGAGAAGAGACCAACACCCACCCCGCTACAGCCTCCTTTCAGGTAGTTGTAGAGAGCGATGACGTCTCCCCTCAGCCTCCTTTTCTCCAGGCTAAACAACCCCAGTTCCCTCAGCCGCTCCTCATAAGACTTGTCCTCCAGACCCTTCACCAGCCTCGTTGCCCTTCTCTGGACACGCTCCAGCACCTCAATGTCTTTCCTGTAGTGAGGGGCCCAAAACTGAACACAGTATTCGAGGTGCGGCCTCACCAGTGCCGGGTACAGGGGGACAACTTGGTGGCACATTAAAGCTTGTTTGAAACCACACACAAGATTTTATGCAGCTTTCTCTGCATGCCAGAGAAATGTGTTCACATGTGACTGAACATAATAGTCCAAGATTAGAAAATCTAGCAGTATGACAGTAAAAGCCAATCCAGTATTTTACACTTACCAGTTTGATATCTTTTTTGGCTCTGCTGCCATCCATTTTAGCCTCGTCATAAGTCAATGATTTATCTTTTGCACACCACATATTAAGATTATGTAAAACCTAAAGAACAAAATTGACAATTTGGTAGCATAATAGCATTTAAATGGAAGACTCTAGCAAAAAACAGCCTGATCTCTATATACATAAAAATAATAATACTGTTCAAATACTACATTGAAGTCAAGGACTTGTACATGACGTGCTCTCTGAATGGACACTGATGCTGAATTGGCACTGACCTGTCTGATGTCCTGATTTGCTGCCAGGATTATCTCTTGCATAGCAGGCGGTGGAATTTTTAAACCTTCTTTAAATGCAATAGACATCATGGCACCCTGTAATACACACGGTTGAGAAACTGTCATAATTCCTATGAATTCTTCCCCCTACAGAACACTGACACATCTAGGAAAGAGCGTTACTGTATTTTTCTAGGTTTTTTTAAAGCACGTATAATTTAAATTTTCTCTCATGAACAAAAGTCAATCCCTTGTCATTAGTGTGTAAAAAAAAAGCACACGATCATTTAAAAAAAAATCTTTGGCTATATTTAAGATAGACTTCTAAATCTGAAAGGCTTTGTGATACTTCATTCTTTGGGAAGAAACACTCAGACAACCCATTCTGAAAAGCAGAGTAACTCACTGCGGTGAACCGTTAAATTTTAAGCGGTGTTTCTAATTTTCTATGAATTCTGCCACATGAAGACAGAAGGTACTGATGGTAATTCAGCACAGCCCATACAGCCACAGCCGTCTTACCTTAATCTGTTCTAGACGAGGTCTCTGAAAACGAAGATCAAAACAGTAGTGGACCAAGGAACGAATTTTAGGATGGTTGCGATCATTACACATACAGATGATGGGTATCTTTGTCTGTCTAATCAAACCAATCAACTCCTGTGATTTAAACACATTACAACAATTACATTAGATACCTCAGAGAATAAGAACAATTAAGATGTCATACCAAGCAGCATTAGGCCCTGCCTTAAATCAGATCCTTGACAGATGCAAGTCTATAGAACTCCTCCTACTGTAATCATGTTTCTGCACAATGAAAGTCTAGCCCCTCTCCTACTTTTTCCACTTGCTATTCTATTCAGCTGCAATAAATCTGTCTACCCACTTCCACTATCCACTTCTAGCAATCACGTTCGGACCGTTCTTCATGAAGCAATGAAGACCAATAGCCCAGAGTAGAGCTGTCCACCTGCAGAACTAGATTCATTTGTCCAAAGGCCAGTCTGACCTGGCCTATGCCCAGGGGGAGCACACATCTTTCTGACTGCACCCTGCCACAAACCATGAAGAAGCAGAAAGTAAAAAGATCAGCTCTTCCCTGTCCAAAGAGCTCAACCCTGAGGCTTCAGCATTATTAGGCTTACCAGAACAAACTTTGCCTGCTCTAACGAAGGTGAAATTCAGTTCAATTTCATATTCCTCCAATGTAAACGTCTGCATCTGAGGTAAAGATCTGTATGCCCTTTATTGTCAAAGTATTGCATGTGACCATAGGAAATCTTCAGAAGCTAAAACTGGAGCTGCTAAGGAGAACAAAGTATAATACTGCCTATGCCACATTGTTTATTCAGTGTTACTGCCTACTGAAGAGAGCAACTGTCCCCATCAGATCAGATTACAAACCTCTCACTGCAGGTAGATGTCAGCTGCAGAGACCTTAGGATAAATTCATCCGTCCAGGAATAAACATCTGAAGCGCACACACCCAAGTTCATCACTCCGGGTTTCTTTTACAGAAGTATCTTTCCCCCACCACCACCACTGCATAATTCTTCTTACACAGAGACAGACTTCTAAAATAGGTCAGATAAACTGTACTCTAGAGTCTTTCTATGGACCATGGCTTGAGGACAGTAGACTGGCTTGAAATATTTTTTGCTATATATGGTATGCACTCTTAGCAATGGCATTAGCTAATAACTATAGCAGTTTCACCTGAATCCCTCCTCTGTCTTCATTGCCTGCCATACCATCCACTTCATCCATGATCAATACATGTTTCCCGCTAACTGATGAGGATGTGCCTGAAAATGAATATGGACAAGAAAATGAGATGGGAATAAAATAGGGTCTTGCTCAGAGTTTTCCCCAATGCTTTATAGGTTAGGTAAGCCCATCCTAGACAACTGAGGTGGTGATGAACCTCTTGCTCTGCCGCTTGATCACATGAATCTATGCTCACAGAATAAAACTGACTATAACCTTGCATCATCTTCCAAGAAACAAGCCCCATGCAACAGAAGAGCAACTGCAGAGTTCTTGAGTAGTTTGTGCAGATCAACAACTGATTCTACTGATAGCAGGATTTAATTTACAACTGAAAATGAAATAAACCAGCTTACTAAATAAAGCCATCCCTATTAGAGCCGGATCCCTCCACGTGATGAGCAAGTTAAATTCCTAACACTATTGTGTAGTAAGGAAGCTCTGTCCCTCCTGTAACCAGACTCTTAACACAACAAAAATCCTCCTTCAAACAACAGACATACCGGAACAGAAGTCTTTGATGCTGGTGTTGTTGAGTGATTCAGCAACTACTTCCTTTAGACTGTTCTTACTGCGAGTGTCACTGGCATTCAGCTCCACATAGCTATACCCCAGTTCCTAGTCGAAAGATAAAAACCACACAAAAAATGAGAACACAGATCAGTGAAAGAGCATACACGTACTCAGAATTAGAAACAGTATTTCAGAGTTCCAGAAGAAAGCTCTTACAACACCATTTTCACATATAAATTGTGGTTTATGATTCCTTTCTCTCCTCATACTCCAAAAATATTTATAACCAGACACAGAACAGATATGCTCAAAAGAGAATTTTTTTTTTTTTTTGGGGGGCGGGGGGGGAAGTCAGTGGCACAGATTTAGTTCTGAAGGATTAACAGAACTGCCACCAGGGATAGAAACAGAACTATGAGCCAAGGCTGGCTAAGCTCCATGGTATTTCCAGCTGCACATTAAAGTCTTATGCACAAAGAGTCAGGACAAGAAATATGCCACATCCCTCTGAAAGTGGAAGAGAAGCTTTTAACTATTTAGCAGCTAGGAAACACATGGCTCCCCCAGCAGTCCTAACACTTCATAATGGGGCTGGGCTGCATGTCAGTCCCTGAGAAACCTTAACCCAGCTGCTCCTTCATCAGCAAACTCCCCTGCCAGGGGCATGCCACGGCACAGCAGCGAGCTGCACACAGCTTTGTTCCACCAGGGGGAACCAGCAGCTTGAACCACCTAGGGGTTTTTTGGCTACTCCTGTGGAGTACAGTGAAATGCTCTGCAGAGACCTGAAGCAGCTGTGAGCAAGCCAGGTTGGAAACTAGAAGCAGAAAAGACCACGCTAGTGCAGAAATGAGCACAAGTCAGCACATCCAGCTTCTCTGCAGGTCTAGTTTTGGGTGCAGCATCAGCCTGTTGGCATCAAGCTCTAAGGTGGGGTGGGGGGAGATTGGGAGTTACTCTATACAAGTCAAATATTGAGGTAAGTAATCACTCCTTCCCAGCACAAAGATCAGAGCTGACAATAGTTCTCAACTCTCCCAAGTTGGTAGTATCATATTCTAAGAAGGTTCTTGCAAGTCAAAGAATAACAAAAATAACCTGTAATTTGTTACAACACCACTATTAATAAGTTAGCTTTAATGGTATTTCCACGATATGGAGTTCTCAGCTGATTGTCATGACACAGTGAAACACAGTGTTCCAGTAAGTTAGGAAAAACTAATTTCTTAATTCAGGTTTAGAAATGGACACATAGCCCTGTCAACTTCTCTCATCCTAAAGTAGTATTTGAATTTAGAATGAGTTTGGGAAAGATATCTTTGTTAGATATATAAAAACCACAACAAGCCTGTCATAGAAACTTTCAAAAAGCTTGCCAGAATTCGATTCCCACTAATTTAGTGCAAATATTCCCTGACTTGTAGAACTAGTGCTGAACGCTCACAATTTTTGAAAACCATTTCCAATTGTTCAACATACTGCAATACGCTGTTTCTCAAAACAACAGAAAAACACAGACACCCATTGCTATATTCTCACTCCAGACCTCATAAAAGTATCTAAACATTCACGTATTTTCACCTGCAACCCTGTTCTGAGCAGATGGAACTAGGCTGGGAGCAGACCCTAGTAATTTAGGGGATATCCACCTGCACGCTGTACCTGTATCTAGATACAGCATCAATATATAACAAATAGTGCTAGGAACAACTGTTAATACGAACTCACCTTACAAACCAAAGAAGCTGTAGTAGTTTTACCAACTCCAGGTGGACCAGAAAGTAATGCTGCTTTAAAACCAGTACCATCATCTTTGCCTCCAGCTTTATTGGTCTTTGCTGTAAAAGAAGATTCCAGGTTTTACCTTAGTTTGTTTTGTATTACAAACTGCGTATTTCATGTAAATCTTTGAAGATACCAAGCATCACTGGAGTTCTTCCTCATTTAAGGCTTGATATGAAAAAATGCATACACATCTGCATCCTAACCATTTGGGAAAAAGCTGTTTAAACCATCTCAGTTTAAGACTTGCAGTGATTCTAAACTGAAAAACAGCAAAAATGCTATTAATGCAATACAATAATTTCTGCAATTTTCTCACAACCACATCATAAAAAAACCCCAAACAACAAACCAAACCAACACACACACAGAAAAAGCCCACCACCCACTACAACAGCAATGAAGCTTAAACACTATTTTAATCACAGAAAAAACTGTCTACAGGATGGCACACTACACATGACACGGGCTGCTTGTCAGGCAGAACTAGGACCTTAACAATTCATCTCTTCCCCATGCATGACGGCAGCCCTACATGTTGCTATCCTGTATTTTCACCATGCGTACAGACAAGTTAGCACTGGCCAACATTTCTCTTGGTGAGAAAGAATTCACTGGGCTGAATATGAGGCCATTTTTATATACATTAGTGCTAGGTTACTTCGGTTTCTTTTAGAAAAAATTCACATTTTAGAGAATACCACAAGACTTAAAAAAATATCGTCAGACACAGTTTGCTTTTCTGATTTTGGGTTGGTTTGGGGGGAGCAGCGGTAGTAAGTGAACAACTGCTTTGACAAAAAAAGAAAAAACTACTCAGGCTCAACTGCTGCTAAAAAAACACATCCGACTGCAGCCTCATTCCCGATTTCTAGAGTCGCTCTGCTATCTCAAAGGCCCTTATCGGTCCAGGGAACCAAGCAGTATGATTGGCATGAAAGAACAAAGAGAAGTTAACCGCACTGGTCACCTTGTCCATCTTCCGAGGTATTCTTGTGCCAATTTCGGAGCCATCGGAGCAGTTTATTGGCACAGCTTTGCTCACCCTGCTGTCCAATTACTGCCTTAAGAGACACAGGCTTGTATTTATCTACCCATAGCAATCTCTCTGTTCCGTCTTCATTAATTTCAGCAACCAAGTTCCCCTTAGCTTTTGGGGCTTCTTTCTTCTCTACAATCTGCCGTTTAAAATCCATAAGCTTTCGAACAGCAGTGGTTTCTTTCTTGACAGATTTGACGGTATCTCCTTTTTCAGGAGTAGACTTATATTTTTTATTATCAGCTTCCCTTTTGAAGGGGCTAAAATTCCTTTTTACAGCTTCAGCTTTCTGTGGTGTCTTTTTAGGTCTTGACTCTGCTTTCTTTGCCTTAGGAAAATAAAGGTAAGAAAATTAAAGGGAAATTTCAAAAAACCCATACAGTAAATAAACATGCTGTCTTTGAACACATGTACAAGAGTGCTTAAGAAAGTAACAAAGCTTATGTATTAATAAAAAAAAAACAACCTTCAAGAGCAGATAAATAGTTCTCTCTGAAAAATAAACCACTTGTTAAACACGATGCCACCTGGTTCTGTAGCACAACCCACAAAAAAAAAAAAGAGGCAGGAAACATTCTGGTCATTCCAAGAGCAGCCCCCTTACTCACAAAGCCTGATGCATCATTAAAAAATAATAATGCAAAACTGATCACTGTCAGGTTGGAACAAATGGGCCAGACACCCATGAAGCTCTTGCAAACAACACTTCCAGAAAGTGTTCAACCCAAAACAATTCAAAGGGAGTGAAAGTCATTAGCTCGTAAGCTTACGGTTGCTTTTCCTTAAGACACCAACAGTATCTTTACATGCAACAATTCATGTCTAGCCACACCAGAAGTGCCAAAGCAACATCTACACTGAATGCACAACATGCTAGAGCTGACAGAGATTTTAATAACATTTTATCAGCCACTACAGACTAAATTTAAATGTGCATATAAAAAACCCTCGTTACTATTTTTACAGTATTCCCTGAAAAATTTACCTCTAATATTATTAGTTCATGTACCACATAAGACAAAATCTGTTATGTATACAGATTGTTTACATATAGTTGCCCCGTGTTTACAGTATGACTTTATAGTGGGCCTGTCTGGGTACCACACGGTATCAGTCACAATTACTTATTTCAAAGAATAAATAAATACTCAAGTTTAAAACTGAAACCATCTAAGGAGATACAATTACCCCCTCAGTCAGATACCTAGAATAACGTCAGAGTATAAACATGAAAGGTGAGAAGGAACCCTATAGCTCCCAAGTAGAAGTCTTAAACACAAACACAAAATTTTCACTTTCAATACTTTCATAACCTAGAAGATCAAACTGACAATCGTAAGGTTACTGTTACTGGAAGAGAAGACCAAAACTCCTTTCAACTGAAAACAAACCAAAGCAAAAAACAAAGAAACCCCTAAGTTTATAAGAAACAAACCTCTGTTTCAGCCGCCAGCTCATATTTGGACTTTTTGCCTGGCATAGTTCGAATAAGGTCAAACAGGCCATCCTCATCAATAACTTTTGTCCCTAAAGTTGATGCCTGGAGCAAAAATAAGAATTAAAAGTAAAGCCAAGTAAAGTTAGGAGTTACATAATTCACTTCAAAGTGTTTTCCAGTAAAGACTATGTTTAGGAAAACAACAACAACAACAAAGAGGTTGGGGTTTGGTGTTTGTTTTTTTTTTTTTTTTAATATGTGTGTGCGCACACGCATGCGCGTGTATACATGTAAATAAAAACAAAGCCCTAAAACATTAGCCAACTTTTCAACATGCACTTTATTGGTAGTACTGCCTCCTTTTTGCAGACACTGAAAAAAAAAATCAATAGTTAGATACGAACAATTCACAGTTGCACTTCTACTTTGCTCAGGCACAGGAATACTCACCTTTTCACATTTAGATTGGCCACAGTCTCGCCCCATAACCAGATAGTTTGTCTTCTTGCTGACATTGCCAGTTACTTTTCCTCCGTAGCGTTCAATCAAAGACTTGGCCTCATCTCTTTCAATACACTCCAGAACGCCTGTAATTACGAATGTCAGGCCTTCCAAGCAGTTTTCAGCTCCCTGAGAACCAGACCATTGCATAAAATGCCATTACCTGATGCAATTCTACCAAATACCTCTTCACCATAAACTTTTTTAACCCCCTACCACATCAAGTACCCTATGAAACTTTAAAAATAGGCCTACGCTACCTAGCTAGGTAATAGTTCCAAAAGTTCTAAAGCCATTAGAAGTAATAGCTACCAACAAAACTTCACACGTTGTTCACCTGACCGATCATACTCGTAACTTTGTGCTTCAAGCATAGCATGTCAGTCAAATGAGCGACAGCAATCTTCAAGACCAGTAACTATTTTCCATCATCATGACTTCATAAACCAAGTACCGAATTTAATTTCTTAGTATATTTCCTCACATTTAGTCACTGCTTTGTATTACCATTTAGCTTTTTCCAATACATACTTCCTATTTGAAAAAAAAAAATCAGTTTTTAAATAGCTTAGTTGATACTTGTTAGATCATTTACTGTTATAAGTCTGACACACACCACTTCCACATATAGAATTCTGCTGTAGCCAAACTTACCTGAGGTATCTCTTTGGAACCCAGCGCTTTCGGACCCTCGCGATTGAGAAAGCTTCGGTAGGCTTGATAATTGATCCGCTTCTTTTCAGAGTCCTCAGGACTTACAGACTTGGGCAGGACGGGGGAAAAAAAAAAATAAATTAATATACATATTACTGTCCTGGTTTCAGCTGGGATAGAGTTAATTTCCTTCCTAGTAGCTGGTACAGTGCTGTGTTTTGGATTTAGCATGAGAATAATGTGATAACACACCGATGTTTTAGTTGTTGCTAAGCAGGGCTTACACTGGTCAAGGACTTTCCAGCTTCTCATGCCCTGCCAGCGAGAAGCAGGGAGGGGGCACAGCCAGGACAGCTGACCCAAACTGGCCAAAGGGGTATTCCGTACCACATGATGTCATGGTCAGTATATAAGCTGGGGGTGTAGCGATTGCTGCTCGGGGACTGACTGAGCATCGGGCGGTGGGTGGTGAGCAGTTGCATCACCTGTTCCCCCGCCCCGGGTTTTGTTCCTCTCTCTCTCTCTCTCGTTATTTTACTTTCCATTACAATTTATTATTATTATTATTTTATTTCAAGTATTAAACTGTTCCTATGTCAACCCATGAGTTTTCTTACTTTTGCTCTTCTGATTTTTGCCCCCATCCCACCAGGGCGGGGGGGGTGAGCAAGCAGCTGTGTGGTGCTTAGCTGCCGACTGGGGTTAATCCACAACAATTACATATATAAAAACAACAAAATAAACTCAAGCATCATGGCTTAAGACATTTTTATACATCAAAGGAAAAAACAAGTGTTAGAACTTGCTTTAATCTATTAACATGCAATACCAAAGCTTGTTCTGGTTTTGGTGCTTGTGTTTTGAGGGGTTTTTTTTTGTTCTTTTTAAAAATATTCCAAAAACCCACCTGAGAGTTTAAAAAAAAAAAAAAACCTGTACCCATTGTTTATTGTAAAGTTTCTGTAGATTCATCTGTATTCCACGTGTACATGCTTACTTAATTCATAAATTGTTGCTTTAAATTCACATCCTATTTTATTTCAGAATGATGATCAGGTATAGACAAGATCTACATTTACATAAAGTCTACTTCATAGTATTTCTACTTTTAAGAGACATTTAAGCTTTTTCATCAGTAAAAAATTATTTAAAACTCACCTCCAAAAAAGCTGCAGGCTCTCCCTCCCAATTACAACTGTTATTTAAGTGTCAAAATCAGTATTCTGTACTTTACGATTAAAAAGTATGTTTTAAGGTTGCCAATAACTGCTAGTGTGTTCAATAATTACAGTTACTGAATCAGACAGTTAGAAGAAAACTCAATTATATTCCTATACAATGTATCAACCATAACTAATACTTCAGAAATAAGAGACTAGGGAGGGAAGGGGTTGGGGGAGAACCAACAATGAATGCCATTTATCATTCTAACAGCAGTATGGATCCACAAGGTCACCACACTCACATAAACAGTAAGCTTTCACTCACTAAGTGTCAGAATTCCTGCATTCTGCATTTTTTCAGGGAAGTTAAACATGAAAAAGCACTGAACTGATTTTGCAGTGTACATGCATACCTTAATGAGCATTAAAGAACTCAGTTCCTTCATGCATTTAATTTACACTTTTCCAGTTACTTTTTTCCTATATTTTTTACAATTGCTAGGAACTTAAAGCCTTTCCAGAATAAAAATTCTTAAAAATTGCCCAGAAGATTCAAAGTACCAAGTTACAACAATGACACATAAACAACAATAAATGAAAACTATTTTCCTGCAAACTCCACCAAGCCAACTGAATTCATTTTGATAGCTCCTACCTCAGTCTTCTTGGGAGAAATTTTCTCCTTCTTCGGTGTTGTCTTCTCTTCTTTCCCTGAAGCGGTTTTTTCTTTTGATACTAAACTTTGAGCACCTCTTTCCTTTTCAGCAATCTCTTCTTTTTGTTTCAGGGACACAAGCTTAGAGCTAGGTTTCAAAAGCAAGGTCTTATCTGTCAACTCTCTTGCTATTTTACCATCAGATGACTGTGGGGATAAACGAAAGCCTTTTGAATGTTCAGATTTAGTTTGCTGCTTCGCAGTGTAATTCTTTGTTTCACCCATCGAGTTTGTTGCTTTCACTTGAAAGAAGGCAGAGGGAGGAGAGCACATATGTAAGAATGTATCTTATTAATATTATAAATTGTGAAATGTTTTCTATATTCCGTGTCCTACCTCTTTCCGACTGCTTGTACCTTTCTGTCACGTTAGGACTGCTCTTGATGCTCAATACTGTTTGCTCTCCTCCTGAATCTTTCCGAGCCTAAATAAACACACAATGCCAGAGATGCACGTCCCGAGCCACCATTAAGTCCAGACCCCAAGTTTCCCTACTGTTAAGTACAACAGACTGAACAACATCTAACAAAGCTGATCCCTACCACAAGTCAGAATGCAATCTCTATCAAAGGCAGGCAGACGAGCAAATTCTGCACTCAGCCATGCACATAATTATTCCTAAAGTCAAAGGCCAGACAAACTTCCAGGTTACAGTAAATTTCAATCCTAATTGGTCTACTGATTAGTCTAGAAGTATTAACACTTGCTATATTCAAATCAGCAATCCTAAATTCTAAAAGCCTTGATGTACAACCCAGCAAATATTTTACTGTGCCTTACACCACAAGCAATGAGAATTGGGAAGATTCCCACCACTAGGGTTAGTCTCAAAACTCTCAGGATCCCTGCTCGCCCCTTCTCTCAAAGCAAAGCGAGTATTGTCCTCCTTCCTTTTTCTCCCATCACGTTTCACCAACTTGTGCCATTGACTCATTTTACTTGATCTGGTCCTCCTGAACCAGCAGAGCTATAGCTGATCTAAAGCATGAGTCTTCAGCAACACGCTGCACTGAATTAGAACCAGAACTTAAAATCGTGTTTCAACAGAAGCAGATACCACAAAGATACAGTGATGCCTGCTGTCTGATTAGGAAGGACACTATTTACTGAGCGAGGAAAATCCAGGAGGAAAGTATGAAAAGCGAGTATGTTATTTTCATGCAAACACTTTCTTGCTGTTTCTAATGCATTTGTATGGAAGTCTCAAAACAAAGGTTAGGTGTCTAAATAATAACACTCCCAGCGATACAATTTCTAAAAACTGAAGTTTAAAAATAATTCAACCTTTTTCTTCTGTGGTGTTTCATCTAACAAGGCCAAAGTTTTAGCAAATTCTTCATCTTCATGCAGCTGTCTCTCCAGCTGAAAGAAAAAAAAAGGAAAGAAAAAGAGGTTTTTAGGCTCATGTCTGACAAGTTTTAATTCTACTATAATTTTTTAAAACTCTACTTGCTGTTCAAGACAAAGTTTATCTAAAATAAGACAGCACATAGCTAGAAAAAGTGCATCCTACAGGAGGCAAATAAATTTCTGAAAACGGCACTGAAGAATTATTTGTTTCCCCCAAAAAGAGAGACTGAAGTCTAGTAGGAAAAGTAGAGTTTGGATTTGTTGCACTAGCAACATTAATAAGCCTGTATAATCTGTTTTCAAAGAGGTTTTCTGTTCCTTCATATTTTTTATTGTTGTGCATCCTTTTCATTTAGTAAACAATCAAAACTTGAAGGCAGGATCTCACAACAACCAGCCTGCACCGAGATGCAACCTGTTGGCTTCAGAAAACTTCCAAAAGCAGTCCCTAAAGACAAGTAGGAACAATGCCTGTTAAGTATTATGATGTCTCAGTAATGAGTGTTTTGTTCTCATTTACTGCATATGAAAAAAAATTCTGGCAGTTTTGGAGAATTTAGCTACTGCCCTTAACCCAGCTCTTATTGCCAGGTCTGCTTACTTTGTGGAAACAAATATACTTTAACTTTTTAGTATTTCTACTTATACAATTGATTTTCTTTGACAGAAGAACCAGTAAGAACAAATACTGTACATGGAATCTGAGACAGTTACTTATTAATTGTAAAAAAACAAAGCCAGGTTATTTTCATTTTTATTTCACCTAACAAAATAAATGTGACATCTATAGCGGTAGCTGATCATCAAGTCACCTTTCCTATCCAGTATGGCCCCTTGGGGAAAACTTTTTCTATTCCTGAATAGTGTATATTGTTGTCAATAAATACTGACCATTGTTTTAACAAAACAACAACAAAAATCCTTTCATAATTGTCTTGAAGTCCAACATGCCATACTGTAAGATTCAAACAGATTACTTTATAAAACAAATATGCCACAGGCATTATTTTTTATGTGTCCGTAACAATGAAATGCATCGATCTACCCTGTGTACAGTGAGAAAGGGGAAGGGCAGCGACTACCAAATGCAAACCGGACTGAGGCAGAGATACACCTGAAATAAAGTACATTCCTTTGATGATACATATAGACAGTGAGAGTGTTATAGATAAGATCAGTTCAAATGAAAGACAACACCTTGTTTTTCCTGACAGGTTGTTTGACTTTCTAATAAATTAAAGCTAGATTCATCACACTTATGGGGAGTTCAAGGATGAGAATAAGTTTTGCATGTACGATATATTTATTTCAAAGGATACTCAATATTACCAATATATGGGAAATGAACTGATTTTCCCAAAAGCAAGTAAATATGTATGACAAGTGTATCTTTCCCTCATATTAGCACTGATTCAAGCAGGAAAGTTTAAGACACGCGCGTAAGGGTCATTCACATTTTTCTCAACTATAAAAAAAATCTCAGATGACAAGTGAAACAAATCATGGATGGCAATGGCTTAATTTCTCACTCCAAGGAATGAAACAAAAAAAAACCCCACAAAACACCAAACAAAAAAACAAACTAACAAAAAAAACCCAACAATGTGAGGACGCAGAAAGTGAATTCTGTGTGAAAAGCAAGATTATTATAGACAC